GTTCTGTTAATGATGTGAGCAAGGATCAGTGGTTACTTCAAGAGAGCCACTTAGAGTCAAAAGCCAGTAATTTCCAGTCTTGTTTCCACTTATTTGTCTGCTTGCTTTACTTGGTATATCAGACTCCACTGCAACGTGCCAATAGCCATCAGTCTGAAGAATTCCTTCCTCAGCTGCCACCTCCCAGTTTATTTCTCTGCTCCATGTATGGGAGGAGCCTGAGCAGGAGAAGTTGGTGACGTCAGGACTATGCAGTCCCCCAGATGCTCCTGCAGGCCTGCTGTGCTTTCGGGAGCCAGACACAGGGATGTCTGTCTGACTGAGACCTGCCAGCAGGCTGGGGCTAAGACTGAATCCAAACCGCTGCGCTGCGTTATGGGGGAAGGGGAGTTTAGAAGGGCACTGACCCTGGAAGCTCTCAGTACTTCTCACTCATCATCAGGAAGCGGGAAGAAGGAATGTTTTCTCTCTGGGTATATTTTTATTTGTTTGTATTTGGGTTTTTTGGCTCCTGCAAAGGATTTGCATTGGCCTCGAAGACGCAAAAGAAGCCATCATCTTTCATCAAATGGTCAGTGCCACACACATCCATTCCAAGGATATTGGACACCCAGATAGCTAGCTGCTTCCTTTGTTCACTCAGTGAGCACATCATCCCCACACGGCCTAGGGAGCAGTTGCTTTGCATTCTCCCATCTGTGCAACTACGTAATGTGGTGCTCCCACACGACACCTATCCCATCCGTGAGACGCCATCACGGCCTTCTGAATCAGGTATGAAGCTTCATGGTGAGTAAGATGCTCACATCAGCCCAATGGTGCTTATATCGTGCCAAGAAAACAGCTGTGCCTCTATGACCCCTTTTACTCTTTTTTTTGTGTTTTTTTGTGTTTTTTTTTTTTCCCTATATCAGGAATCAAACTCATGACCTCGCGCTTGCCAGGCAGGCACTGTGCCACTGAGCTAAATCCCCAGCCTCCCCCACTACTTATACTCTTTACTACCACTGGGAACTCCAGTATTTCTGCTTTATCAGTCATTTCAGCAAAATTTTCATGGCCACCATAAGAGAAAGTGTCTGGCAGAAGAATACCATGACCAGCTAACTCTAGAAATGTCCAGCATTTATTAACACAGTTCAGGATGGCTTCAGGTTGGTTCATCAGTCATCAACCCCAGTCCCAGGTTTCCTAGTTCAGCTGTCAGCACCGCCTCATCCGTCACCACAGCCCTACAGTCCAGTTCCTCCTCAAAACGTTCAGTTTCAAAGCTCCTTAAATGGGCTGAGGATTTAGCTGTGTGACATAAGTACCTGCCTCACAAGCACAAGGTCCTGAGTTTGATTTCTAGTATCAAAAAAAAAAAAAGCTCCTTAGGTCTCTTTTTAGGGATAATCTTCCCTCATGCAAGGTCTGTCAAAACCACAGTTTGGCAGCCACAGAGCTACACAACTTAGGTCTGCTTGTTCTTCTTTTTCTGGATTATTTCCTCTTGAATGTAAACTCTGCCGCTCGCTCCCTTGCACGCCCGACCCAGCTCACACACAGCTGGCAGAACACTGGCCTTCTAGACTTTTTAAACATTAGAATTTGTCAGAAGTAAGAAGGGAAAAACATCCTTCTGCTAAATAAATAAGATGTTTAACTTAAAGATTATAAACTTTTTAACTATGAAGAACTGAAACTGGGTATGGTGACACATGCCTGTAATTCCAGCACGCAGGAGGCAGAGGCAGGAGGATCTCCACAAGTTTGAGGCCAACCTGGGCTACAAAGTGAGTTCAAGGCCAACCCGTACTACATAGCAAGACCCTGTCTCAAAAAATAATTTTTTAAGACACTCTGAAATTTATGCAATTATATTTATTTTCAACAGCTTTACAAGATCCAGAAAAGTCAGATTTTGAGAAATGACATGGAAATAGCTTTATGTTCAGAAAACAGAGCTTATTCCAAGTGATAAAACTCTGAACTCCGCCCCTGTGCTGAAGTCTGCCCAAAAGTCCACTAGTCAGAAAGTTATCGTTCTTAAAGCCCCAGAACCTCAGACATCCAGTAAAGGCCAGGCAGAGAGGTATCATTTGAACAGAGAAAATCAGTAAGATTAGCTTTCTTTTCTTCCTTTTAAAATAACCTTTTAAATTCTGCCTAGATGCAACCTTTGATTAAAATATTTTGTCAGAATAAACCTAAGATCAGTTGACTTTTAACGTATTACTTGTATACAGTTTTAATCTGGGCACATCAGAACTCAGTATACTTCCCTGGTGAGGATGTTGGGGGAGAGTGTTGTTTTGTATTGGTGCCTTTTGTTGTGTTTGGTTTTTGAAATTTTTGCAGTGCAGGGGATCAAAACCAGAGCCTTGCCAGGCGTCGTGGCGCATGCCTGTAATCCCAGCACTCAGGAGGCTGAGGCAGGAGGATCATCGTAAGTTTGAGACCAGCCTGGGCTACAAAGTGAGCTCAAGGCCAGCCTGAACTGCAGAGCAAGACCCTGTCTCAAAAAGACCAGAAAAAAAAAAAAAAAAAAGAGAGAGCCTTGTGCATGCTAAGAAACCACATTACCACTGAGCTACATCCCTGGACACTGGTGGAGATGTTTTTCATTGCACAATCACTTTGAACAGCTGGTTTCCCTAAACTAAATTTCTGTTTTCTCCCAGTATCTGTCATCTTTCTTTCAATTGTTTCCATTGCTGACCCTTTGTTCTAATCTTTTGGTGTTTTTCTTTTTCTTTTTCTGAGATAGGATCTCTCTTCGTAGTTCAGGCTGGCCTTGAACTTACTATGTTGCCCAGGCTGGTCTCGAACTCACAGAGATCCTCCTGCCTCAGCCCCTTGAATGCTGTGATTACAGGCATGCTCCACCATGCCCAGCACTGGTATTTTTCCTTTGAATTAAGAGTTTTCTCTAATTTTTCCTCACTCAATCACACACTTCATTCACTTTTTCCTGGATTCAGTTCTATTTTTTTCTACATTTCCAGTCTTTCTTTTTCATTTTGAGACAGAGTTCCTAAATTGCTCAGGCTGGGCTCACACTTTCCTGCCTCAGCCTCCCACAGTGCTAGGACGACAGGCATGCAGGATTATGTCCAGCTTCTGGTCTATTCTTATTCCTTCTGATGTGGACTTACCTCTCTCTCAAAGTATGTTAAATTTTTATTCAATTCTTCCTTTTTTCTTCCAACTACAAGTCAGTGCCTTTTCATCTTAGCTTTATCTTTCTTACTCTTATTTCCAAAATTCTAGTGATGTTGCCAAAAATCCTTCTGGAAATTTCTTTTCAAGCCTAGAGTAAATATGTCTCTAGACTTCTGTCTCTTTCCTTCAGCCTTTGGGAAGATGTGCCCTTTCCCAGGCCACCGTGTTTTCCCTTGGATGGTGGGCCACCCTCACGTAGTATGATGCACTTCTTTTCCAACTTTTACATGCCCGAAATTCACTCTGCAGAACCTCTTTTCCTACCTTTAATAAATGTAAAAGTTTGCTTTTTAAAAAAGTACCTTTTCCTTTGTTTTAAAGCATTTTTTCAGAATCCTTATGATGTTTTTCTTCTCATTTTATAGTATCAGGGATCAATTATTATGGCTTAATTAACTACATATGGAGTATTCCCTCAAGACTCCTGTGTTGCCAGGCATATAGCTCAGCAGCACAAGTGCCTGCTCTGGCAAGTGCAATGTCTTGAGTTCAATTCCCAGTACAAAAAAAAAAGAGTCCTGTGTTGCGGGCTTGATTCCCAGCACAGTTCAGAGGTCCAGCCTGGCAGGTAATTGGATCCTGAGCGCTCTGACCTGATCAATGGATTCGCCCATTGATGAGTTCATGGGCTGAATGGGTAGGAGGTGGGGCCTACTTGGACAGTAGGTGAGAGGTCATCGGGTTGTGTCCTTGAAGGTCATCTCTTCTAGCATCCTCTTTCCTGTCACTATTTTCTGGTGGCCATGAGGTGAGCAGTTTTTTTCTACCGTGTTTTTCCACTGTTTCCGCCCTGGCGCCAGCCCACCATGGACTGAAACCACTGGAATGCAAGCCTCCTTTATGCTGTGTCTGTGATGAAAAGCTTACTAACACAAGTACTGACCTATACCCCACAGCCCTTTTTATTTTGTTGTGAAGATAGGTCTAAGTTGTCTAAGCTGGCCTCAAACTTTTTCTTTCTTTCTTTCTTGCTTTCACAACCCACAATCAGCTACATCCCCAGCCCTTTTATTTATTTATTTATTTTTATCATTTTGAGGGAGAATCTTATTAAGTTGCCCACACTAAAGTCAAACTTGCAATCCTGCCTCAGCCTCCCAAGTGCTGCGATTACAGGCATGTGCCTCCACGACCAGCTTCAGATTCTGTTGATCAACTTATTGGACAAATGTGTGGCCTTTTTTTAGTCAGTGCTCTGACCCCTGGGCCAAAGCCTGAGTCCCCGTCCCTTCGGGTCTACGGTGAGAGGCCCACTCTTTGGGTCAGGACAGTCACTCTAGTAGCTCAACATCAGTTCTGGCAGCCCAGCAGCTGTGTCACTCATCAGCCTTCCCTCCCCCCTCCCACCCAAACTCTCCATCTGGGCTTCCCAGGCCTGTGCGGCTTCCTCCTGCACTGTTTCCTAACAGCAGCTCTCTCTCTTGCTGCAGCTTCTGCTCGTGTCTTATTTCAGTAGCATTGTGGCTTTTGGTCACTTCCTTCTTCACGTATCTCTCAGCTTTGGACTACCTTATTCTCTAATGGCTCTCTCAAGTTGTCTCACAAACAGATTACCCATGTCCTACTTCCTGCTTCACAAAATACTTGTCATAAACTGGACATAGTGACCCAGGCCTATAATCCCAGCACTCAGGAGGCTGAGACAAGAGGATTGCCATTGTTCGAAGCCAGCCTGGGCTCCATATTGAGTTCAAGGCCATCCTGGACTACATAGTGAGACTCTGTCTCCAAAAAATAAAAGTAAAACAAAAAACTTGTCACTTTGTCCTGCTGAATCCTTACAACCAGCCTATGTGGGATCACACTGCTCTGTACACAGAGGAGGCAGCTGAGACAGAGATGTGAAGGGGCCTGGCTAAGTCTTAAAACAAGTAAGGAAGTCAGGAGGGGCCATGGAGAGGAGTGTGCAGACAAGGAGGAAGAAGACGCTGACCCCAGCCGCCTTCCTTGACGCGATGAGCCCTCCCACGACCTCCATCACCACATCCTCCCCTCCGCCTCCTGACCTGTGGTCCTTCTACCTCCACCTGCTCAGGGCCTCTCTCCCTTATCATTCTGATCCTGCCAGCTTCTGCCACACCTCTTCTCTGACCTTTGCTCTGCTCCAGCCTGTTTTCCTCTGGACCCAGGAACCTCCAGCTCACTTTCACTCACTGCCTGCCTGTGCTGACGTCTTGCCATGTGCACGGGAAAGTGTGCCCGCTGCGTGGGGCTCTCCCTCATCCTTCTCTCCCTGGTCTGCATTGTGGCCAATGCCCTCCTGCTGGTGCCTGACGGGAAGACCACCTGGACCAAAGACCATCTCAGCTTGCAAGCCTGGCTCATGGCTGGCTTCATCGGTGGTGGCCTGATGGTGAGAAAGCTGGAGCATGGGCAAGGGACCCGTGTGCCACTCTGCAGGGTGCAGACCAGGACAGGGAGGGAGAGAGGGAAAGGATCGGGGTCTGGGAGGGGACGGGAAAGGCATGCTGGGATCTAGGAGCCTGCCCCATCTGCTTCTACATGCTAAGCACCCTGCAGACAGTTCTAGGGGACTCGTAGCACCCTGAGCTGAAGGTTTGAGAGGAAGGGGAAGGCAAGGAGCCTCAAGTCTCTAAAGCGCTTCCCTTCTGAGCAGGGGGAGCATGTCCTACCTGCCCCTTTCTGCCCCTTTCCCCTTTCTGAAGCAGATGCTAGGAACACCTCCCTACCAGGGTAGTAGCAGAAGGAGCATCTGGTTATGTAGGAGGTTATGAGATAGGGTAACAATAGGCATGGGGCGCACTGAAAATGCCTGGAGCCGGGGGTGACACCATGGAGCAGCTACTCTACCTATCAGCTCAGTGTTTCCCTTCGCCTCTTCCACGTCCAGTCACCCTCAGCCCGCACTTAGGGATGCCCACTCTGCTGAGTGCTAGGGATAAGAAACCCAGAACCTCCATCAGTTCGGCAGAGAAGGAGCCCACAAGTCTTCCAGCAGGAGAAATAGGGGAAGGGGAATCACACCTCCCAGACTTCCTAAGCGCTATATTCCAACTCCCTCCTCATTTAGAACTTTTGGATGGTCAACCTAAGGCAACATCTCCATGGAAGCCAGGGATATAGCTCAGTGGCACAAGTGCCCGCCTGACAAGCGCAAGGTCCCAAGTTTAATTCCCGGTACCAAAAATCTCCGTGGAGTGGGGATGAAAGATCTAGCTGGGCTAGTGGTTCTCACCTATAATCCAAGCTCTCTGGGAGACTGAGGCAGGAAGATCACAAGTTCCACCTCAGCTTGGGCAACTTTGTGACTTAATGAGGCTGTCTCAGAATTGAAAGAGGAGGATAGAGATGTAGCTCAGTGTGAAGACCATGAGCTCAATTCCCAGTACAAAAAAAAAAAAAAAAAATTACCCAGCACAGTTCCTGAATTCTCAGGACAACTGATTGATTAAATCTTCTGGAAGTTTCACCTTTGTCCCTTTTGCTAGTCACACCTTTATTAGCTAAATGGGGATGTGCTCCTTTAACCAACAATCCCTCCTACCCCTGCAATGTCTCTTCTCCTACCCCCACCTCCTGCACAGATTCATGGCTGTTGAATTCTACTCCATCTCTGACCCTGGCCCCCACTATCTCAGAAACGTCACCCTTCTCCCAGGTACCTACACTCACCCACTGTCACATCGTGCCCCTTCTCCAGCCTAAACTACCCCCCACTGCTCCACCCAATCTGACCAGTCTGCTTCAGGAGAGATCTCCACACCTGTGCATTCAACATCCTCATACACAGCTTCCTCGCCCCCCTCTTTCACCCACCGTCACTCTCAGGAGGTGCCACATTAGACCACAGGGCCACACGGACAAAGTCCCTGTTCCCTGTTCTCCCTGAAGCTATGTTCCCAATGATGAAGCAAAAGGTACTAAAGTAAAAAGACTGGAAGCATAATGACAACAAGGACTGCCTGATATGTAGGCTGCTCTGTGCCTGGTGCCTACGCCAGTTCTGCTACCTGACAGGTACCTGGTTAATAGTCATTGGATGAATTAAGGAGATAAGCAAGACAATTTCAGATTGGAGTAGGTGCCATTATGAAATAAAGAGCTCCTAGAGAAAGCTGGGGGCAGCCTGTGTATGTATGTGTGTGTGTGTGTGTGTGTGTGTGTGTGTGTGTGTGTGTGTGTACTGAGGACTGAACCCAGGACTTGGTACATATTAAGCATGTGTGCCACCGTTGAGCTATACCTCCAACCAGGGCCACATTCATAGCATTTCCAGGCAACGTCTCTATTACGGATGTCTGTGCTCATATACCAAATGATAAAAGAAGGTCGGAAGGTCACAAACAGGCACTCCACAAATCTGAGGATCAGAAAGGCAGCCAGTGTACCTGAGGTCTAATGAGATGAGGTCTGAGGTGGGCAGAAGCCAGACAATGTCTCCCCTGAAAGTCACAATGCGTAATCTGAAGTAGAGAATAACTGAAAAACATTTCCACGTTTTCTGAGATTTTAGAACATTTTTTTAGTATTTCATCTATATTATTATATGTAGCTATAGTTTTAAAAATTTCTTATATATTCCACTGTGAAAATATACCTCAATTTAGCCGGGCATGGTGGTACATACCTATAATCCCAGCACTCAGAAGGCTGAGGCAGGAAAATCGTTGTGAGTTCAAGGCCAGCCTGGGCTAAAAAGTGAGTTCAAGGCCTGTCTGAACTGCATAGTGAGACCCTGTCTCAAAAAGACACACACACACACACACACACACACAAACACCTCAATTTATTCAAACATTCTGAAGTCAATGGACATTTGGATAGTTCCCAGTTTGGGTTTATTATGATTATGAACATTCCTAGGTGTCTTTAGGTGAACATACATGTGCATTTCTCCCTTCTTGTTTTGTTTGGTCGGTTTTTTTTTTTTGGTTTTGTTTTTTGAGACAGGGTCTCACTATGCAGTTCAGGCTGGCCTTGAACTCATGTAGCCCAGGCTGGCCTCGAACTCATGGTGGTCTTCCTGCCTCCTTCCTGCCATTTCTCCCAAGTGCTGGGGTTACAGACATGCGCTGCTATGCCCGGCATAAAATATTTATTATAAATGTATTTTGAGTTTCTGAAGATCAAACCCAAGCCCTTGCACAAGGTAGACAAGCACTCTACTACCGAACTACATCCCCCGCTCAAAAAAAAAAAAAAAAAATTTAAAAAAATTGGAAAACCAGCCAACTACTTGGAAGACTGCAGCAGGAGAAGCCAACGTGGCCAACACAGATTTTGCCTTAAAAGAAAAAAAAAAAATCCGGGTCAATGCAGCTGGGTGCGCGAGCGGCGGGGGCGCGGGGCACAAAGCCGAGGGAAGCCGAGGCGCGGTAGCGGTGGCGACTCGGGCGCGTCAGCCTCCCCAAGCGGGGCCGGGACGCCGCCTCACCCCTCCTTCCCTTCCGCCCGGGGGCGGCAGCACCGCCTCCTTCTGCGCTGCGCCGGTTCCTCCAGACCTTTCGGCGAGGGCAAGCCCTGTCCCCAGAGGCCGCTGCTGCTGACCCTGTAACCTAAAGGAGGAAGTAGCTGCCCGAGCTCCCCCTTCGCACTGGTGGCCACCGTGTCCTTGAAGATCTAGACAAGCAATGTGACCAACAAGAATGATCCAAATCCATCGGTTTTCGAGTCTTCCTTGCAAACCTAGAAATCAGCCATGGAGACCATCTTTTCCAAATGTGGCCTTGTGGCCCTTTGTGCAGTGCACAAAGGTATGTTTTCTTTAATACTCCGAGGGCCGAGCCGCGGTGACAGAGTGCGCGGAGTGCGCGGGCGCTGGCTGCGCAGACCCTGGACATCGACGTCGCTGCAGAGCCCAAGCCCAGCAGACCCAAGGAGCTAAAGAGAGCAGCATCTGCCCTAGATAGGCTCTTCCACTTGTCCCCCATGCCAGTGCCCAGGACAGTTCCAGTAAAACGTCTGTGGGTCACAGTCCCCCTGGTGAGCTCTGTCAAAACTACCATACCTGTCAAGCTGTTTTCCCACTCCACAGCCATGACCACTGGCTCAGCCAGGATAAAGAGCAATGAGCCGCAGAGCATCAAGACAGAACTGACACAGATCAGGGTGTGGTGGCACACACCTGTGATCCCAGCACTCAGAAGGCTGAAGCAGGAGGATCGCCCAGAGTTCAAGGCCAGCCTGAACTATATACCAAGACCCTGTCTCAAAAAAACAAGCAAACGAAAAACAAAAACAGAACTGACACAGATCAAGTCCAGCCTTGATGCTCTGTTGGGTCACTTGGATCAGATTGCTAAGGAGCAAAAGGCCAACCTAGACAGAAGAAGAAAGGTGACAACAGCAGTGCCAGTGGTGGTAGCAGTGGCAGTAGTGCTGGTGGAGGTAGCAGTAGTTCCCCCCCCACCAGGACACACCTTCTGAGGCAGGCACACCCCCCCTAGGACACACCTTCTGAGGCAGGCACACCCCAGAGAGAAGCCCAGACACCGGATGATGATGGTGATGAGGAGGGGCTGCTGATGCGTATGGAGGAAGAGCCAGAGCACAGCCAGGACACAGATGTGGCGGATGGGGCCTTACAATAGGCAGCCTGACAGGAGCAGTGGCCACCAGCAGGAGAAGGACGTCACTGTCCAAGGCCTCAAGCCAGGCACTTATCCCCTGGATGCCGACTTGTAGCGGGTACAGAGGAAAGCTGGCAGCAGGTGCTCCCCCCATGCATCCCTGGCCAGTGCCACATCTTCTGCAGGTGATTATCAGCTACCCCTTCCCCATGCACCCTCCTTGTCTGCACTGTCCAGCCCAGAGGGCAGAGCACAGGTTTCCCCACACTCTGCCTTCGCTCCCCAGGACATGCCTAGGCTTGGGTTTTTCTATAGGTTTAGATAGGTGGTGTGCAGAATGGAGACCTTGAGAATAAAAAGAGTGGATAAAAAAATCCTGGCATGGTGGGGCACTCCTATAATTCTAGTACTTGGGAGGCTGAGGCAGGAAGATCCCCTTGAGTTTGAGGCCAATTTATACTAGTAAGTCCAAGTAAGCCCAAGACCACATGAAATACATAACCAGACTCTGTCTAAAAAAAAATAAAAGAAAGTAAAAGGTAATTTGGGGATCCTGGAGCCTCCCAATGAATGACCTCAGCAGAGAGGCTAAGCAAGGGGTCAGTATTGGCCCTGGATCTTTCATGAGATGAAAGAAGAGCAGGTGTATCCAAGGCAAAGTCAGTTCAACTCAGGGGTGTTTCTCAGAGGTTGCTATGGATGACATAATAGAACTAAAACCCTTAACCTTTTCCCTGGAGAAGAACAAAATGTTGCCTTATATGTTGTAGCAGACTGGGCATGGTAGCACACACCTGTAATCCCAGCTCTCAGGAGGTTAAGGCAGGAGGGACACCCCAAGTTCAAGGCCAGCCTGAACTACATAGTGAGACCCTGTCTAAAAAAAATAAAAGACTGATTTTTGCTTGATCAAGACAGCTGTGGAGTTCCAAGGATGAGAAATGAGAAAAGAATCTGGTTTGATACAAAAAACATAAAGAGGCAGAGTGGATCGTTGAATGCCTTGTTAGGGCTCAATCTGGATGGGCTACTCTATGAAGAGACCTAAAGGACTTGAGCAAAGAAGAGACCAGTCAAAGACTAGGTTTAATATGGCAGTGGTCTCTAGGATGGAGCACGGAACAGCATGGGACCATGAGAACCTGGTATGGAAGCCAAGAACATCTTCCCTCTGGAAGGTGATTAGGGTTTGAATGTGGGGAAGGAGCTGGATGTGGTGGCGCACACCTGTAATCCCCGCACTTGGGAGGCTGAGGCAGCAGGAGTGCCACAAACTTGAGGCCAGCCTGGGCTACATAGTGAGACCCTGTCTAAAAAAAAAAA